GGCGGGCGGACCAGAGCCGGGGCGGATCCCAGCGCCTCCTGGGGCTGCGGACGGATGGTGTGACGGCCGCGGGCGGACATGGCTCACCTCAGGGGATTTGCCAACCAGGTAAGGGGCAGGCGTCAGGATGGTGCGTGCGCGCGTCTGTGCGCGCGGGTGTGCAGCCGAGACGAGAGTGCGTGTGAGCGTGTGTGCGCCCCAGAGTGCGTGTGAGCGTGCGTGCAGGTGTGCGCCCCAGACGAGAGTGCGTGTGAGCGTGTGTGCGCCCCAGACGAGAGTGCGTGTGAGCGTTTGTGCGCCCCAGACGAGAGTGCGTGTGAGCGTTTGTGCGCCCCAGACGAGAGTGCGTGTGAGCGTGTGCGTCCCAGACGAGAGTGCGTGTGAGCGTTTGTGCACCCCAGACGAGTGCTCGTGTGAGCGTGTGCGCCCCACACGAGGGTGCGTGTGAGTGTATTTGCGCCCTAGACGGGAGTGCATGTGAGCGTGTGTACCCCAGGTGAGAGTGCATGTGAGTTTGTGAGTGTGCATGGGTGTGCACCCCAGGTGAGTGTCCATGGGTATGTGTGCGTACGTGTGTGTGTGCCCCCAAACGAGTCTGAGTGTGAGGCTGCATGAGTGGGTATGCATCCCGGACGAACGTGTGTATGAGTGTGTGTGCATGCATGGGTGAGCACCCCAGATGAGTGTGCATGAGTATATATGTGTGGGTGTGTGACCCCAGTTGAGAGTCTGAGTGTGTGAGCATGTGTGCAGGTGTGTGCCCCCAGATGAGTGTGTGTGCAACCATGGGTGAGAACCCTAGATGAGTGTGCATGAGTATGTGTGGGTATGCACCCCAGATGAGAGTGTGAGCGTGTGTGCATGGCTGTGCATCCTAGATGTGTGTGTGCATGAGTGTGCATGCGTGGGTGAGCGCTCCAGATGAGCGTGCATGTGTACGTGCATGGGTGAGCACCCCAGGCGAGTGTGTGTTTGTGTGCATGCGTGGGGGAGCACCCCAGATGAGCGTGTGTATAAGTGTGTGCCTGGGTGGGTGTGCACCCCAGGCGAGCATGCACGAGTGTGTGTGTGCACCGTGTGCACCCCAGGCTAGCGTGCGTATGAGTGTGTGTGCACGTGTGTGGGTGTGCGCCCTCAGAGAGTACTGACAGCTGAGTTTGGGAGGGGTGAGGACCCAGGTACATTTTGCTTGTGTCCCTGAGGGCTCGCCAGAGGGACGTGGGTGTGGGGGTGGAGGAGCGGCTAGTTCATGGTAAGCCCTGTGACGGGGTCTGTGGGTGGCACAGTGGGGAGTGGCAGGGTGCTCAGACGTGGGGTGCTGTGCGTGCACACGGCCTTTGTGTGGCAGCGGCTCAGAGCCTCTTCACATAGAGCCGGTGGCTCTGCAGTTCAGAGCAGTGTGGGAGGAGACACTTTATCTGGGAACGGGTGCTGCCCTCAGCGCTGGGTGGGGCTGGGCACTGGGTGGAAATACTGTGGGAAATTGGACCTCAGCATGGAAGGGAAGTCAGAGGTCAGGGTCCACACGGAGCCTGGGCTTGGCCTGTGGTCATCTGACCATGTGGGGTTGCGCGGGGGGCGGGGGCTAGTGCCCAGCAGAGTTTGTATGGGGAGAACCCTGATGGCTCCCGAGAGGGGCAGGGCTTGACCGGGAATTCCTCATTAAGCGTTGGTGCATAGGGAAGACAGGACACGCCCGTGGGCACGCGTGTGTGCGTGCGTTTGTTCCTCAAGAGGAGAGCGGTCAAGAGAAGGCCGCTCGTGCAGAACCGCTTATCCAGGCTGGGCATCTCTCTCTCTCTGTGGATTGCTTCTTCCTTTCTCCTCGAGCCTCGTGGAGAGTCTGGCATGGCTGTGTAGTGACCGGCCGTCCGACGACCCTCTCCACTGAGTTCCCTGGATCCCAGCTGCTGCTGCTGCGGAGCGTGCTGGGGCCGGAGGGGGCGGCGGGGCGAGGCTGACAGTGGGATCGAGTGAGCCCGTGGTGGCTGCCGTGCTTCGTTCATCCTTGCTGCGTGGTCTTGTTCTTTACGTGTTGGCTCGGGGCAGGTTGTCACGGAAGTGCCTCTTCAAAGACAGAGCGTAGCCCCCCATGTGCTGGGCCAGGGGCCAGTGGAGGAAATGGAAGTGTTGCGTGGCACCGAAGCTGGAGTCGAGTTCAGCTAGGGACTCCACAGGACCTGCCTGGAACCCGCAATGGTGCGGGCAGGGCACAGCTGCCTGGTGGGGCACCCTGGACCAGTGTGGCCCAGGTGGGAGCTGGTGTGCAGCTGCTGCTGAGTCTAGCTGGCAGAGCTGGGATTTGTCTTTGACACTCCACGTCTGACAAACGGTTTGATTAAAGAAGGAGAGTGGGAGAGCCCAGCTCCCTCTGGCCGTCCTCCTGCTACGATAGGAGGGTGGACAATGTCCTGGGAGTGACAGAGGAGGCTATAAGCTCAGGGAGCCAGCCAGACTGGCTGAGTCACCCCGGGGCTTCGCGGGCTGGGGGCCGCGCAGGGTGGGGGCCGCGCGGGGTAGGCAGGCCTTGGGGTGGTTGGTGGGACGCTCCTGAGAGCCCCGAGTGAGCCTGAGAATTGTTCTCACTTGCCCCCACATGCTGAGGTAAGCCCCACTGCTGATGGAGGGGCCAGTGGGCATCCCAAGCGTGGTCCACAGCCCCAGTGCACCTTCTGAATGGGTGGTTGGCGCCTTTTTAAGTTTGAGGACCAGGTGCTCCCAGGGGCACTAGGGCTTTCTGTGATGTTTGAACATGTGAGACTGAGGTGCTTGTGGGGGGTGTGGCCAAGCTGGGGCTGATTTTGGGGGACCCTTTGCTGAGGGGCAGAGGGACTGGGGCTCTATCCACACAAGAGGGTGGAGGTCACCATGGGGCGTAGCAGAGGACCTGTTTTCATGCAGTGCCCCGCTCTGCTCAGCATCCCTGTCCCCACATGGTGAGCGGGAGGGGGTGCCCAGCGCTCTCTTGGGCCGAGGGGGGGACGTGGGTTTTCTCGTACACTCCCCCCCCGCTCAGTGTCCCTGTCCCCACATGGTGTGTGGTAGGGGGTGCCCAGCACTCTCTTGGGTGGAGGGTGGATGTAGATTTTCTCATGCAGCCCCCTCACCCCCCACTCAGCATCCCTGTCCCCACCTGGTGTGTGGTAGGGGGTGCCCAGTGCTCTCTCGGGCCAAGGGGGGAAACAGGTTTTCTCATACACTCCCCCCGCCCCCCGCCCAGTGTCCCCGTCCCCACGTGGTGAGTGGTGGGCGGTGCCCAGTGCTGTCTTGGGCCGCGGGGGGACGCAGCTTCTCTAACAGGAAGGACTGTGGTGAGACACTGGGGTTCTCTGGCAGTGGTGTCAGGTCTGGCTGTGGAGCCACTGTCCCAGACGGGGCAGCTGTGTGCTGGCCAGTTGTGGGTGTGGGGTGCAGTGGACACCCTGACCACCCTGCCCCGTCTGCTGCACAGCACTCCCGCGTGGACCCCGAGCAGCTCTTCACCAAGCTCGACCGCATTGGGAAGGGCTCCTTCGGGGAGGTGTACAAGGGCATTGACAACCGCTCCAAGGAGGTGGTGGCCATCAAGATCATCGACCTGGAGGAGGCTGAGGACGAGATCGAGGACATCCAGCAGGAGATCACCGTGCTCAGCCAATGTGACAGCCCCTACATCACACGCTACTTCGGCTCCTACCTGAAGGTGCCTGCATGTAGGGGGCTGGGGGGCCTGCTCGGCATGCGAGTGTGTTGGGGCCCCATCTCCCTGGCCTGAGGACGGTGTTCGCCCTGGGCTCTGCGGGGCCTCTGATGTGAGCGGCCGGCATCTTCTGGGTGGCTGGAGCAGGGGTGTGGCGGGAGAGTGTGGGGCCAAGGGGGAGCCCCCTTCCTGTCCTGAGTTCCCTGAGCTCCGGCCTTCTGCCTTGCTGGCCGGGACGCGTACGTGTGGCGTGGCTGGACGCTGATGGTGCTCCTCCCTCTGCCACAGAGCACCAAGCTGTGGATCATCATGGAGTACCTAGGCGGCGGCTCGGCGCTGGACCTGGTGAGGCCTGTCACCCTGAGCCCTGGGACCCATGGGTGGCGGGGGTGGGGCTGAGGCCCAGTGTCACGTCTCCCCACAGCTCAAGCCGGGCCCCCTGGAGGAGACCTACATCGCCACCATCCTGCGGGAGATCCTGAAGGGCCTGGACTACCTGCACTCAGAGCGCAAGATTCACCGCGACATCAAAGGTCTCGCGGGGAGGACAGGGCACTTGGGGGTGCGTGGGTTGGTGCCCCAGGCTCTGGCCTGCACCCCAGCCCTGGTTCCCCGCGTCCTTGGAAACCTAGCAGTTGGGTCTTGCTTGTTTCCGTCAGTAGCAGGCAGAGTCTTCTTGGTCCGTGTCCACCCCCACCCCCATCCAGTGGTCTGTATCAGGGTAGGTCTGAGCAGGCCAGCAGGCTTCTCCCACCCCCTGAGGGTGCAGAGGGATGGCCCGAGGCAGCTGAGCCAGCAGGGCTCCTCCTGCAGGGGTCTGGGCAGGTTGGGGAAGTTGGACAGAGGGAGTCATTCTGTTCTCAGCGTGCAGTGTTCAGTTCACCCTCAAGGCCAGATGGGGTCCCTGTGAGCACTGTGGCGGGAGCATTGTGGCAGGAGCACGGCGGCGGGAGCACTGTGGGAGCATTGGCGGGTGCATTGTGGCGCGAGCACGGTGGTGCAAGCACTGTCTGCAGCGCTGGGGCATGAGCACTGTGGCGGGAGCATTGTGGCAGGAGCATTGTGGCGCGAGCACGGTGGCGGGGGCACTGTGGTGGGAGCATTGGCGGGTGCATTGTGGCGCGAGCACGGTGGTGCAAGCATTATCGGGAGCGCTGGGGCATGAGCACTGGCGGGAGCACAGTGGCAGGAGCACTGGTGGGAGCACTGTGGCGGGAGCCCTGGCGGGAGCACAGTGGCGGGAGCACTGTCGCACTAGCTCTGTGGTGCTGCTCTGGGCCTGAGAGGTGGGCAGGCCCGAGCTCCCGGCTGAGACTGCCCTGCCCTGCTTTGTTGCACAGCCGCCAACGTGCTGCTCTCCGAGCAGGGTGACGTGAAGCTGGCGGACTTCGGGGTGGCGGGGCAGCTCACGGACACGCAGATCAAGAGGAACACGTTTGTGGGCACCCCCTTCTGGATGGCGCC